TTTTTTTTTTTTTTTTTACAACGACATTATTGTGGATAATAAATCTTAAATAATAAGTGGAAAAAATTAGACAATAAAAAAAATTTACTGAACAAAACACAAAAAAAACAAAAAGCAAAAATAAATGAACAAAAAAAAGATGAAGGAAAAAGGAGGAGATGAGGGTAAAGTAGCGGGGAGACGAGGAGGAGGAAGGAGAGAGAGAGAGATGGGGTAAAAAACAATACTCCAAAGATTTGGTTGCCTCTTTGCGGTTTTTATTGCTCTGTGATTTACTGCTGCAACTTTCTGTCTGCTGCTGTTGCTGCTGCGGCTTCTGTTCCAAATGTATTCTATTTCTTGATCTTCTTTCCAGACTTCTTCCGGCCAAATCGTAGTCATTGGTATATACCAAGTTTTAACACTGTTTCTTACCACGCCTTCCTTCTGCTTCCCGTCTTTTTGTCACCGGTACCCCACGTCCATTTGTTCAACTTTACCTTCCACTTCCACCATTTTTTTCATTCAACTCATATTCTACCCAACGATGCTATAAACCAAAGAGGCTTCATAGTTTTCCGGGACTCATTAGCAGTATCTGGGGAAAACAGAAAGGAAAAATAAAACAAAGCAAGAAGGAAGGAAGAAAAAAAAAGCTGTTAAACTGATCATTAGTCATCAAATGAATAGCAATAACAATTCATATATTTGAAAAACTTCATTTTTTTTATTTTATTTTTTAAGCTTTATTTCAAATTGTTTATTATTAATTTTTTTTTTTTATTCAACTCTTCTATTCTTTATTGTTAACGGCAACAGCATATAACGGCAAAAATTGATTACAATTATTTTCAGATAATTCCATTGGGCAAACAGTTTAAAATTTTATGCTTCAGTTCATCTTTGCCACTCATCTGTCTTAGTTTTTGTCCCCTTTTTTCTTCAATCACCCTCCTCATTCATTACTTTCTTTCCTCCCGGTGCCTTTGTCTTTTCGTTGCATTTCCACTACGTATAAGAATTGCAAAATGAGTAGAAAATTGCCGGGCGAAGGAAAACAATTGAAAATTCATCTTATTCTGCTTTTAATCGACTAAAATTAATTTTATTAAACGGTTACAATAAAAATAAAAAAAAAAACAAAAAACAAAAGAGATTCATTAACGCACTGTTCAAAAAGCGTTTTATAAAAATTAGTCAATAAATTATGAATTATCTTTACATTGCAAACTGTTGAAACATTTCTTTTTTTTTTTTTCTTTTGACAACGGCGATAAATTGGTGAGAAGAAAGAATAATAAATACAGCAGTCAGAAAAGTGTGTAGAAGAATCTAAGTTACTAAATAGAAACACTGAGGAAAAAAAAAAAAGAAGAAAAGTCATGTTCAGACAAATATTCCTTTAACAGTTATCGAAATCTTAATAGACTGTCTTATTCAATGGCGGTAACTTTTCAGAAAACTTATTACAGACTAAAACCTAAAGGAACGTTCAAGTTTTAACTTTTACGCTCAGCATTGCTTTCGTCATACTTTATTTAATTATACTTTTTGGTTTTCCAGACAGATCGTAACAAACAGATACTGAAAATACATTGAGACACCTATGGATCAGTTACCATTCTTTGTTTGTTGTGTTTTTTTGAATCTTCCATTTAGAGCTTTTTTTTTGCTAACTGCAGTATTTGCAATAAGAAGGAAAAAAAACTCGACTAAATAATCTATAAAAAAAAAATTTGCATACTTTTGCATCTGTTTCTGTTGTTTCGGTAAAGAAACAGAAGAAAAAAAAAGCAAAAACAAAAATTGTTTTACCTTATTCAATCGACTGAAAAGCTGACCTTCAAAAGTTACTATTAATTAACGTTTAATTGTTTGTAATAAACGATAATTCTTCTTTAAAAAAAAAAAAAAAAAAAAAAAAAAAAA